GATAGATAGATAGATAGATAGATAGATAGATAGATAGATAGATAGATAGATAGATAGATAGATAGATTTTAATCTTGCTTTTTTACCAGTGGAAAACAGGTAGAAAAAGTGGGGGAAATTACAAACTTCTCCTCCACCTCCCCCCACAAGGGTCAGGAAAGAACCTCTGGCGTGTGTGCCCAAAGTGGCACGCGGAGCCATGTTGCCTGGTATGTGCGGCATTGCCGGTTCCTCTTCCGGGTTTCTGATGCACATGCGATGATCAGCTGGCCTTCGTGCGTGTGGCAGTGCAGGAAACTGGAAGAGCTGGTCTTCTGTTTTCCTGCGTGAGCCAGAGTGCCGGCCAGCTGATCACGTATGCGCATGCGCGCCAGTAACCGGAAGACTAGCTGGCCAGTGTGCATGCACGTGCCGGAAACCAGAAGTTTATTTTCTGGTGCGCGCATGCCCTTGGGCACCTCCTCTTCCAGATTGCAAGCCCAACGAGCACATGTGCACACAAAGTGTGGAGACAAAGGGCAGCAAAAAAGTTTGCCATCACTGGTATAAACCTTATATTCATGAATGTTACTATAATCTATCCTTTTCTAGATAGCAGAATATGATTAGGCAATATTCTGGATGTGTGTGTGTAAAATCTTCCTAAATCCATTATTTAATCTTTTTTTTTTTTGGACAGGAAGAGTTATAAGTTTTAAGTTGGCAATACAGTACCAAGAGTTCTCCAAAAACTTAGCCAAATTTAAACAATGGCCTAAATCTCATATGTCTATCAAGCCCTATAATCTTTCAAGTTTTGCTGCATCGCTGCATGGTGCAACTAGCGACTTAACAAATCGCTAACTTCTACTTTAAAATAACTTTTAAAAAACTGCCCTAGTAGGCTCACAAATTACAACCTCACCAATTATATACTGACAAGAAAAGATAAGTTAAAATATGTGCAGTTGGTGTCTTTACCCAGTGTTTCTCAACCTTGGCAACTTGAAGATGTCCGGACTTCAACTCCCAGAATTCCCCAGCCAGCGTTCGCTGGCTGGGGAATTCTGGGAGT